GCTCTGGCGAATTTTTAAATACGTGTTGTGCTTTTCAGCTCTGGGGTATCTTGTTTCTTTATAGAATGTCTGTCCTTTCTGTTCTCGTGTCATTCATATATGCTCCTTATTTCATTCATTTTTGGTTTCCATTAGTTCATTAAGCCTATTTAGGGAATTTGATTTAACATCTTTAAGGGATCATTCCAGGGCCTGGGCTTCCTCAGAGATGGTTTCTGTCAGGTTCGTTTCCTCCTGTGAATGGGCCGTACTTCCCTGGTCTTTGAGTGCCTTGCCATTTTGTTGCGATCTGGACATTCTGGTTGTTGCGGTGTGGTACCTGGAAATCAGAGTCCTCCGTTCTCAGGGGTTGCTGGTCTTGTTCATCAGGGCTGCCACTGCCTTTGGGACCTTCCCACATGCGCTTAGGGTTATGTCTGTTCCCTGTTGTGTGTGGCCATTGAAGTTTTTGTTTTATGACCTTTGTGGTCAGCGAGTGACTTGGTAAAGATTTCCTTGCGTGTCTGATGAAAAGAAAACCAAATAGGTGTTCGGGCTGAAGCCAAGGCCAGTGTCTGTGCTGTCCCTCCCCAAGTCGACCACACTTGCAGGCCTGGGTTTCTGGAGAACAGGATCTTCTCTGCCCGCCCCAGGAACACTGGCCCAGAGGCCCCAGTCACAGCGGGGCCAAGGGAGGGAGGACGCAGGTGGGTGTGCATGTCCTTCAGCCCCAGCTCTTAGCCTCTCTCTCCATCCAGCACTGCTCCCTGGCTGTCACAAGGCTCTAGTCAGGATCCTGACTTCCAAAATAGTTGATCTGGGTCACTTTTGCCAGTTTACTGGATTTTTTTCAGTGAAGGGACTAACCATAGAGCTTCCTTATTCGATCTTTTGCTTGATGTCTGTTGACATATTTTTTTCTTTATTTTTTTCTTTTTTTGCCTTTTTTGAGGCAGGGTCTTGCTATGCAGTTCAGGCTGGCTTTGAGTTTACTTTTTAGCCCAGGCTGGTCTCAGAATTGCAGTGATCCTCCTGCCTCAGCCTCCCAAGTGCTGGGATTACAGACGTGCGCCATTCTGTCCGGCTGACATACATTGTTTAGTCACTCATTCATTTATTTATTGGTGGTGCCTGATGGAACTCAAGGCTTCTTGCACGCTAGAGGATTAAGGTACAGGGAATTTCATTTTCATGCCAGTTATGGTTTGTTTAGTTTGGTTTTTGCAATGCTTGGGATCTAACCCAGAGTCTCATGCATGCTAGGTGAGTATTGGCTTTCATTAGGTCCAGGTATATTATGTAATGTTTAGTTGTAAACTCATCTTCAGCAGATTCATTCTGTCTGTTTCTTTGTCTCCTGCACCCCACCCCCAGAGACTGAATCTAATGCATTCACCCTGAGCTACATCACCAGCCCTTTTTATTTTGAGACAGGGTCTTGCCTCAAACTTGTGATCCTCTTGCCTCAGCCTCCTTCAGTGCTGGGATTACACTCATGTACCATCACGCTGGGCTTCAGCAGAGATTATTTCTTTTCAGAGAATTTCAGAAAACCTAGGTTATAAATATGTTTTTGTTTCTTTCGTTTTGGGGACTTTTTGGTTTATTTCATGGTGTTGTGGTTTGAACCCAGAGCCTCATGCATGCTAAAATCACAAGCTCTACTACTGAGCCACATTGTCCGCCCCCAGGTTTTGTTTGCTTCTGCCAGGTGCCCCAGAGCTATCATTAGTCGGGTATCAATTTTTTGTTTGGTTAGTTTTTTTTTTTTTTTTTTTT